ATTTTTCCGCTCGGTAGCCGCCCTATAATTTAGTCGTTAGTTTGTCGTGCTTCCGTGGCCACGTTTGCCTCATGTGTCCTCCCTTCTTTCCATCATTCGACGCCCGCTCGCTCGATCGCGACTCGACCCGTATTGTTGCCCTCCGGAGAGTGGCCGTGATCTAGCCGTTTTATTCGGTTCCCTCGTCGTCGTCGACGCGGAAGGGAAGGCCGTCGTGTCGCGGAAACTCTCTGTGTCCGATGCGATCCCGACACGTCGCGGCTAATTTCACGCTGCATGGCGGAAAAACTCGATCGTTACGCGCCGCGCAAAGCTGAACAAGAAGGAGGGGGAAGTGGAGGTGGAGGACGAGCGCTCGCGAAGACGACATCGACGACGCCGACGCGGCCAACGGTACCGCGACGATCTCGACGGTGTGCGTGCTGGTAGTCTACACCGAGATTTTCTCCCCTTTTTTTCATTTTATTCCATTTCCACCCTTCATGGCGGTAAAAAATTTCAAGTACCGGTGTGAGCGAGCGAACACGAGAGAGAGAAAGAGAGAGGGGAGAACGAAGGAGGGCGAAAGGAGGAAAGTGGAGAAGGAAAGAGAATGCAAACCGAGAGAGAGAGAGAGAGAGGGAGAGGGAAGGGGGAGGGGGAAGAGAAAGGTGAGCGAGAGGAGAACAAGGGGAGAAGAGAAAAGAGAAATCCTACAGGGGAGTACCGAAACGGGCTCTCGAGGGCCGGTCGCCATCTTGCCGTGCAGTACAGTCACGCGCAGCATCTGGACGCGAAACGAGGAGTAATGGGGCTGTGCGAAATATGATAAAATGACATCAGATTTCGGAAATTAATGCGTGAAGTCGGCCGGGACAACAGTTACCAGGGAGCAATCGGTTTATTGTTAATTTACGGCACAACTCTTTCTCTCTCTCGGTCGCCGATGTACGCGTGCATGATATTGATTTAATCTCAGTCTCGATGAGCGTAGTCGCTGACCTTCGACCTTGCCGCTGTTATCGCGCGAGAGAAACTAGTGAACAATCGATAGATTAACGATTGCGATAATCCTGCCGCTGCAGCGGCGAACATGCTGTTTGATTTGCACAACTTTATCATCGTTCTGAATCAATTTTCAACGCACGAGAAGGAAACTAAAGTTTTCAAAGAGATCGAGGGAACTAAAGAAAGTTTTTTTCGAGAATATCTGACAGAAAATATTTCCCGCATCGATAAATAAGAATAAACAAATTAAAGTGTGAACATGCTCAACATACCGTCGGCCGTCAAAATTCGCCGGAGTTTAAGGAGAGAAAGACAACTCTGTTGTCTTGGATCGGATGTTGGAGATCGCGGTGAGCAGACTACCTTACTAAGGGCCAGTTCCACAACCTCTAGTTAACTTAACTGACCGGTTATTCCATTGGACTTGACCAATCGCATTTAGCGTTAAGAAGAGTTAATCAGAATTAGCCAATCACTGTTGAGACTTAACCGGTAGTTCAAGTTAAACGGAGGTTGTGGAACTGGGCCTAAGGGCACGCATTTTCTGTAAACAGAGAAGGAGAAAGCCAAAAATTACATTCGCACGGATAGCGTCGAAAAACTCTCTACACGAAGAGAATTTCATAGTGAAATTTATTATACAAAAAATGGAAAAAAATGCTGTTGTTTCAGTAGAGATTGCTAACATCGCCGTAATTGGAGTAAATCTTCTTGATTCAACAGCACAATGCCATTGAAACCAATATATCATATATTGTTTCGATGACTCAAGTATTAGTTTCACTGGCTGTTGAAACTAAAGTTTGCCAAATTGAATATAGAAAACGAGATTATCTAATGTCAGAGGAGTGATCATTTTAACAAAATAAAGCGAACATCGCGACTCGGCAGTTTTCCTTCTCTTCCTTAGACGTCTAACGACGACTCTGTACTCTCCTCTGAATATTCCAACTTCTTACGAGAGTTCATTCAGCGGAACGATAAATCTTGAGTTGATATTACTATTTTCATTTGTTCCATGTGCGCGCCGGTGTAAATCAGGTATAAACCGGCGTGCGTCGCGTGACGGGCCGAATCGGGCCCGGCCTTCTCGCGAAGGCGTACTATGCGAATCCCGGCATACAGGCATTTTGGCCGGAAATCGTTTAACGCGCGTTAAAGTGGCTAAAGTGGCGTGACGCGTGACGCGCGCACGGACCGTCATGCGTTTAGCGTAATCGTCACTTTGTCAGCTTGAAGTGCACGGCATGCCCTGCACTTATGCTCTCGCAAACGGCAACGCGCACGTAAGTTCGTACCGGCCACTCGAATCAAATCGGTCGTATACCTCCCCGGGCACTCGACACTGTGCGGATTTGCATAAAGGTATCTATTCGCGCGCGCTCGCGAGAAAAAATTCATTGCCCCGCATAAAGCTTTCCGTCGCGTTCCATTGGTCGGCTTGTATATGCCTCTCTCCCTCCTCTCTCGTTTATTATTTATTTTCTTTTTTTCTCTCTCTCTCTCTCTCTCTCTCACTCTACGCGCGTATTTATCGCGGCAATTTTTCCATCGCGCAAACAAGCGAATGAAAAAAGAGGAAAAATGAAAAAAAAAAAAACAGTTGATATAAATCTCGTTTAGCGAGCTGCATCAATATAGAGGCGATGTAAAGAGTTCTTGCCAGCTAGAATTTCGGGAGCGATGATATGCGAGCGCGCACCGGAAGTGAAAGAAATACAATCCCCGTTATCGATGTCCGGAAAAAGGCAGGACGAAATAATTATATTTCAAGAGGAAAAATGTTTTAAATTTGCGATTCTAATTGCGTAGTGAAATAGAAACAATTACAAACCAACCGATCTGATAAGTACTGCTGTAACATTATTGACGATAACTTCATATATTGTCGTCATCGTTTTTTCCTTAGAACAACAAAAAGACGTCGAAAATTGCTATTATTTGCGGCGAGTGATCGACCGCTTTCTCTCTCGAAGTTTTTTCCGATGACGGCGAGATCGTAATTGAAAATTGTGTAAGCGAACCGACGATTTTTTCAGTTGATTCACGAGTCGTCCACCGGACGATGAAGTGACGTGACAATGGAATAAGGGAAAATCAAAGGAGTCGCGTCGTGCCGCAGTCGGCGACACCGATCTCCGGCTAGAAACCGCGATCGTCGCGCGAGCTGTGCACGACGTTATTTTTCAGCGCGATCGTATTATTAAATCTCCTCCCACCCGGCGAGGAGATCGAAGAGGAATGTCGTGTACCGAATGTTGATACAGCTGAGTGGTCGTCCTGGCAGGTACTCGGCCTGCTTGCTTCGGCTTCTGTTTGGTATGCAGTGGGGTCCGCGGGGTCCACGTTGGCGAACAGAACAGGGCTGTCCTTACGCCCACGGGCCCTGCGCGAGAAGAGAGGACGCGATCTTCTCTTTCTCTAAAGAATCTCCACAATTCTCAATTTCCACGAGCGAGCGTCTGATAATCACGCGCAGGAACGCCGTTTTGGTCTTTTCCATTTTGTTTGATATTTCACACGAGTCTCCCACACGCGTGGGAAAGGCCTCGTCAAGTTGGTCCATGGATCATGTTGGCCGTGCATTTATTATGGAAGAATTGGTCGCAAAATGTTCCTTTCACGACATGAAAGCTTGATCTATAATGTGTTATTTGCTTCCTGTTACTTTTTCTTTATCTCTTTCCGACTCAAGCCTTAAACCTTAAACTAAAAAAAGACAGAAAACAAGAAACAGGAAGCAAAGAACACATTGCAGATCAGGCTGAATACTTTTCAATGTAAAATGTTCATTCAAAGTTCTTCTCAAAATGAGAGTATTTTTTTCATTGAATGTTTTTCTCAAAACGTGAGTGCTTTTCTCATAAATTGTATTCTTTTCAGAAGATTTTTCAAGAGCGCATGGAACAGAAATATCCAAAAGGAACATGTTGCGACTCCGCTGTCAAATAAACGCGTGGCTCACGTGACCTACGTTTAAGCTAACTTGAGACCAGCGTTCTCGATCTCTTTTTCCAAGAATGCTTTCTCCTGCATAAACGATCCGATGAATCGTTTCATAAATAATGTCATTTTTCAGAGAATCTTAATTAAACGAAATCCACTGCGGCAGGAGTGCGTTTCCTCCCTTGGAACATCGACGTCGATGTTCCTATGGACGAGGATGAACTCCTGGACGGGTATCTACTTTTATTCTCACAGATCTCACGTAAACATTTTCTACTCCGTCCGTGAAGCTATATTCGAAGCGTGGCTCACGGTAGCCGGTGCTGTTTATTCGTAACGAGAATCCACCGCGCGCGTTCTACGCGTTCCGTCCGTCCTGGTGAGCGCCGATCGCGGGATATCGCGCGGGTTAAGTGCCTTACCGGGCCTACCGCGCTCCGCGTGTTTGCTCGGAACACAGGAACGCTCGGTCCTTGCCGGCCCACGTATCCTCGCGTTTGTTCTCGCAGCGTCCACCAAGCCGGGAGAGGAGATTGCGCGGTATGTACATGTATGCGTACCGGAGTGCGCACTTAAAATGCGTACACTCGTTCCAAGGAGCTTCGGCAAACAGTGACGTTTCAATATTCCACGAGAGACGATCGGTAGCCACGCGCGCGAGTGTTTACTCATTAAAAAGAAAAGGACAGAGAAAAAAGCCTCGGGGGAAAGGGAGGACCGCGTTTATATTTATATCGTATTATATTGAAAACTCGCGCGATGCGAGTTCTCTCGATGTCTCGCGCGCCGGCAACGACATTGTAATACCGTGAAATTCAGTTTTGCGAGGGAATTTATGAGCGAGACAAGCTCGCTGAAAAACACGTTTCGCCCAGAGTTCGAAGGATGAATTAACGCGGCTGCGGCCTCTCCATTATTATGCAACTCGATCGGTGATTTAACTCGCCGGTGATGAATCGCCGCTCCTCGAGCGGCACATACATATACACGCGCGTGCATGTACACCGACACAAGCGACGATGACGAGAATCGATGATGACGAGCGGCTGGTCTCTCCCTTGTTTCAGAGCGCGAGTTCGCCGCGGCGGGTGGCGGTGCCGGTGCTGGTGAAGGACGGGAAACCGTGTGGCAGCGGCGGCGGCGGCGGCGGAAACGAGGGTAGCCGCGGCGGGCCCAGCGCGGCCTTGGCGAGCCCGGCGCCGCACATGACGGCGGCCTCGAGTCCCCACGGCAGCCATCACGCGGCCACCTCCTCCGTCGTGTCCCATCACTCGGTCGTGGGCGTCAGCCATGTGATGAGCTCGAGCCAGAGCCTGCAGCACTGCTCGTACACGCGGGCCGGCGCACAGCAGGGTATGCAGCAGCAGCAGCAGCCGCAGTGCAGCGCGTACCTGCCGTTGCAGGGTCGAGCTTGGTAGTGCGCGCCATCCGCGGCGGGGGCCGCGGCCTACGCCAATCCCTCCGTCGCAGGCCCATGGGCCCTCGCCGCGGATCCAGCTGCCTGGTACGCCATTCCCGACGACAGTCCTTAGGAGGGACCACAGAGAGAAAGAGAGGAAGACAGAGGGGGGG